CTGTTTCTGCATTGATGTTGTTAGATCACCATCTAGAGGACATTTAAAACCACGTGCTTGTCATTTTACTGTTGTGTTTTTAAAAAAAAAAAATTATTTCTACTCACAGAGGCTGTGTAAGCCAAACAGCATGAAATACTAATAATTGGTTACGCACTAAAGTAGGAAAGTCATTACATTTTCTTTTCCCCTTCACTTGCATCAGTCTTATAAAACATTTTTTGTCCAGTTTCAGTCAGTTACTTGTGATCACTACTTGTAAGGGGGAGCTACAGAAATGTTCAGGATAAAGTGTGATTTTTCACATCAGATTGTGTCCTATTGTTATGATCTTATCCCTTTCATTCTATTTCTTTTTAACTTTGAGCAGAGACATGCTCTTACTGATTTCCAAAAGCTTTCACACTCTTTTCATGCTTTAGGGTGTTGTTAGCTACCTATGATGCAAAGTCCACAGTGTTTCTGCCTAACAGTGTATGACACCTTTGTATGTCAGATGAGCCCAGTGATGTCACAATGTGCCCTGAGTAAGACTGTGGTGCTAGGAAAATCCTGACTCCATTAGATGAAAAGGGGTGAGGAGTAAAAGTGTGTTGTGCTGGACAGGAGAATCGGATGGGGGCTAATCCAACCCTGATAGCGTCCCTGGGATTTACCATCTACTTCGTGGCTATGTTCCCAGCCACTTACTGTCCAGTCTTCTCTAATGCCTTCATACCATTGAAAAGCCAGACCATGATTTACACAGCCAAGAATGGACAGCAAGAGGGAAACAGTCCATCAGCAGGTGAGACGGTGGGTTGAAGTGAGAGGATGAGAAAGAGGAGGCTTGGAGAGCAAATAAAGGCAGAAAATGAGATGGAGTATGGACAGAGAAGCTTGGTTTTGCAAAGACAAAAGCAGAAGAGGAATGAGAAGATATGTGTCAAGGGGCAGTGGGGATCAGATGGTCCCTAAGCAATAGGGAGCCAGCAACTGAGTGTGATAGGAAGGCCAGCAGAGCTGGGGCCTCAGTTGCCAGGGCCCAGTCCCCATCACCCTGAGCAGGACAAGCGGGGCAGGCCTGGGGATGGTAGTCAGGGTCAGACAAGAGATCATCAGGGAAGTCCATGATGATGCGACAGGACCAAGTTCAAGGAGGAATGGCAGTCAGTGTCAGGATCACAGGCAGTGATGGTGACCAGGGTCAGACACAGCCCAGTGACTGCCTAGCCGTACAGTTAAACCGGGCAGAGGATGTGGGAGGAGGCACAAGTTCAGGCTGTTTAGGGCCATTAAGGCCTCTTGGTTCACTCATGGCCCTGAGTGCAGCCTCCCCTCTCAGCAGATCCCCCTCATACCCTGTGGAGATCTGGGTTCAGAATGAACATGCTGTAGAGTGATTTAATTGCTATGGGATGCCACAGGGCAATTTCCAAGGGTAAAGAACCAGGGAAAGGATGAGAAACTGGGAAATGAGCATGGCATATGGGGGGCTTAAAGCCTGGGGAAGGGGGGCAGGGTGTGGATCAGGTAGCCCATGAGGAGATTTGGAGGCTCAGTGGGCTTGAAAAGAAAGGTCCAGGCCACTCCTGGGGAGCACCAGAGGCTGGGCAGCTGGGAGGGCAGGGGGCTTCACTGAGAATCCTGGAAGCAGCACCCAGGGGCCAGGCTGGTCCCTTGGAAGGGATGATAGGCCCTGCTCAATGATGGGCTCAGCTCCATGGTGTTCACCTCAGTACTCAAGAAAGCCCAAGTTAACTTTCAGGCAGTACCAAGCTCCAGATGCTTTCTAAGGGAGAGCGAGCCAGCAGACAAGTGTCTGCTCAGCAAGACTGTCAGGGCAGGGGCCTTGCCAGCCAGGGCCCAGTACCCACAGCCCCTGAGCAAAGCAAGCAAGGCAGGCCTGGGGATGGTACTTACGATGTTATAGGTAGAGATAGGTAGTTATTCTGTCAAGAATACAGATCATCAGTTAAGTCCATAATCATGAGGCAGGCTCAAAGTCAAGCCAGGAATAAAAGTCATCAAGCCAGGGTCAGGATCAGATCACATGAAAGAAACCAGGGTCAGACACAGTCCCATGCTTCTCTTTCCTCTTCCCTCCTGTCTCTTTGCTCTGCTGGACACTTTTCTCCTGTCTGTTATGCAGCAATGAAATTAAGGAAGAAAAATGAGACATTGTCACAGTACACAGCATACCCAGAGAACAACCAAAGTGCAGCATTTCAGGGCGAACAAGTCTGAGTAGAGCCAGCATGGGAAGAGAGAAAGCAAGATAGGCAACAGTCAGGGAGGAAGTGTGTTGAGAAATGGGGAAATTGGCCAAATGCATGAGTTAGAAAATGAGGGAAGAGACAACCAATGGAAGAAAGACACACTTGTAACAAGAGGATGGGAAAGATTGTGTTCAGAAAAGAAGAAAATTTAAAAAATCCTCCAGGTATCAAACCGCAGGAGTCCAGATTCCAGTCCCCAGTTCTTCCAATGCCTTGCTTCTCTGTACCTCATTTCCCCTTGTAAAATAGCCATAATGATGGTCTGCCTTTCCTGGATGACCACTTACTACCCTGCTGCAATTGCATGCACTTAGTACAGCAAAGGGGGAGAAGTTTAGGCCAGGTTTGCACACTCATATCCATACACATCAAGAAACCACACTTGGGAATTATGAGGATGCTATGGGGAGGCTGAGCATAGAGGAATATATGCTGAATGAGGAAGAATAGAAACAAGAAAAGGACAAGGGAAGCAGAGAGTGGGAAGGGGTGTGAATGAAAAGCTGCTTAGTATGAAGGAGAAAATGGATACACAGTAGGGGTGAAATGGAGTTGAAATTTTAGAAAGCAAGGAGAGAAAAGAGGGAGGGAAGCAGAGGTGAAAAGGATCTGAGTATAAAAGAAGAGAACAAGAAGAAAGATTATGTTATCCCAACCCATCCGCAGTTACAGGCTGGGAGCAAATGGAGGAAACATTTGTGGCCTTGTCAACAGGGGAAGGAATGGATGTGATTGACATGGTGCAGCACAAGGACTCACAGAGACTGAGGAATTCAGCAATGAAGGATCTGCTGTTGGATCTGGCTAACATTGGCAGCATTGCACTCCTTTTTTTATGGGTGAGATAAAGCATGAAATAATTTCTATGGTCATGGATGATAACAATTTGAACATCTGCCTCTGTTTCATGATCACCTACTGGGCAGCATGGCTTCTCTTCACCAACCACATCCCAGGGAACTTGCAACACTGAGCACAACGGCAAGAATCTTGTGCACATATTGAAAATGTTTCCTTCTCTCCTTGAGAAACACAATAAATTCTCAGTCCAAGACTCATGCAATTTTTTTTCTAAGCCAGAACTCCATTCTTGCACTTCCCATATGTTCTTTGTATAAAAACATCATAGTTAGTAACAAACAAGAATTGATTCAACTCACCAACCTCAAGGGTGACCCTGTCTTTTGAATAGAATATTCATAAGTTTTTCATACATTGTAAGAACAAGAAAAACTTGTATATTCCAGGGAACTGTCCCCCCCATACACTTAACAAGATAGATACAAGAAAAGTTAAGGAGTTCTCAAAATGCAGACTGTCAATAGCTTTTGCTTTTTCTACACATTATAAATAAGCCAAGTAGTCCCAGCACACTGAAATAACTTCTATATTACACTCAAGGTCTGGTACAATGTTAATTGCTATTAGCATGTAAAAGAAAGACAGTCTGGACATGCTGCTGGGACAAAACTGATTAAACATGTGGAGGAAGAGTATACAGTGTTTAAATAGTAAAGATAAGCACAAGCCCAGTGTTGTTATTTTTTATCAAATTATTTTGAGGTATTATTATTTATTACTTGTGAAGTTCAGCTAAGAACTCCAGTCATGCTGGGAACAGTACAAATACAGAAGAAAGAAACAGGCCTGGTGATAAAGAGCTTGCAATCAAAGTAATTTTTTTCTCTGAAGCAAACACTTTATTAATATTTTATTTAATTAATGAAAACAAAATCTTTGAACAGTCTGTTCCTGGAAAATATTTTGCTGCATTGGTCAACACTTGGAAAGGATTAACACAGTTATTAGGATTTTCACAATTCTTACAAAGCTTACATTGATAAGGGATGTTTCCACTGGCCATCACCTATTTCACAATCCCCTAGCAGCCAATATAATAAGTAAAATAAAAATGCTTCCATAATGAAGAACGGTTTGCAGAGTATGCAAAAGGTAGGAGTATTTTGTATACTTACTAACTTTGGCAGATTTTACAACATTGGTATAATTTTTCTAATTATCAGAACCTGAAATTGATGTAATTATTAGATTGCTCTTGAGATTGTGCTTTAAGCACTTCCTCTGCTACCCTAAAATATATTACTTCTTACTGTCTTTTTCCTCTAAAGTAAATTAATACCTAAAATTCAATTTCAAGTAGGAAGTAAAATCCTACATCAGCTCTACTCCTCTATTCAGATGGTAAATATTTACAAATGTAGGGATGAGAGAACTTTTAGGGATGAGAGGACCAAGTTCAGGATCCAGAGAAGTTCTTGGAATTCTAACTGTTCAGTCTTCAGAGACATCTAGAAGCCCTTGTGACTGTCCCATACTCCACCTTCAACCATACCCTCATCCCTAAATAGAGACTAAAAAAAGAGAATCAAAGAAGAAAGATAATCTGTTCTCAGCTCACAATCGCCCTCCCATCAATGAGGATGCTTTCCTCTTTTGTCTCTCAGGAGTTTTGCTGATGAAATTAAAAACGGAACAGGGAAGCCTTCAGTAACCTTCATTATTAAGTGACCTAGAATCTAGAACCTAGAAGCTGGAGCCACTGAGTCTTTCCTGTTACCTATCTCCATTTATTGGCAGAAGAAAAGAAGAGGATTCTTCCCTCTCTGGTAACTTACCTGTGTGGGTTGCAGGTAACCCATACAATTTCCCTAAGAGCCAATCTTATATGAACAAGTCTTAGCTTATTGCCCTCTCCATTCATCATGACTGTGAGGCTGCTGTAGTAGACAGGGAAGTGCACTGACCAGAGGGACTAATATTGTAACAGTCCTTCTGTTTACAACTCCTCAGAAGTTCTTGCCTACTAGAGACTGGCCAGTCATCTTGCTACCTTGGAACTTGCCAAACTCGCATCTGGGACAGAGTGCTGAGAGCAGTAGGAGGAGACCCTCTTCCCTTATGAGCTCAGTTTAAGAATTTTGCTACCATCAACTGCTGAGGAAAAGATAACAAGAAAAGGAAGGTAGAGGAGTGAATGAGAGCGCCATGTCACCCTAGGGGCCCTGAGAAGATGGTCATACTTTCATGGATCAGGCCTTCCTCTCCCTGGGGTCGTATCTCTCTTCCTCCTTTTCCATGCAGATTACCAGATGTGGCACTTGTTTTCTGGATTCATTGGCGATCCACTGGAACAGTGGAAGTGCTTAGCAAAGTCCTGGCTATTGCTGACAGGCCCACAGACACGAAGTGGCAAGGGACTGTGCGGATCTGTGTTCAGAGACAACTCTAGTTTCTCAGGATCCTGGTGTCCACACATTGCCTGAAAGGAAGCAAAATAGAAGTCAACTTGGCTGAAAGTCCTCATGTGAACAAGACTTGAGTCTTCTCATGCATCTGCACACGTGACTCAGGCTGCTAGAGTAAACAAGGAAACACACTTACATGGGTGCCAACAATGTTCAGATCTTTCCCTTCACCACCACAAGTTCTATTTTCCCTTTCCCTAAAATCCTCTGTCCCAATTTCCCTATCTGACAAGCCATCTGCTCTTTTTCTATACTGCGTAGTCCAGAACACAGGGAGTTTAGACCACCTTGGAGTTTAGGCTCATGCAACCTTGGAGTCCATCTAAAATAATGGTATAGATGTAGTCTCAGTGTCTAGATTCAGCTTCTTAAGCAAAAGCAATGAGTGTTCATCAAGAAAGGAGAGCACTTGCACAACATCCCGTTACTACTCGAGAGACTGGGGGAAAGGTTAAGTGACTTTACTGGTGTTAAACTGGCAATCTAAGTTTTTACTCTTGTGATTTCAGTCTTTATTCATTAACAAATGATGCAGTAGTTGCCAGACAGCCTCTGAAATGCAAATCTTGCCACCAAGACCCAATAATCTGTCATTTCAGAACTGCTTTTCTACACACTGCTCTGACCTAATGTCAATACCTGCACAAAACTTTTCCCTTTGTACAATTGCAGTGACTTAGAAGGGTATGACTTTTCTGAGCACAGAAATCCAGTAAAGTATCATGAGGAACTCAACTGCACAACAGTGCACAACTGCACATCTTTGCACAAATCCTGTCACCAGGTTCCCACAGAAATCTTGAACTATGTGTGCAGGTACTTCTAGTTCTTTATCTCTAATATCTTTCTTTCACTATCAGTCACTCAGAATGACATGACATTTAGTTATTCACCATGACAGAGAGGCGGATGAAGGAAGGGATGGACAGATACATGCCTTTTCCACTAAAATTCCACTTTCCGTGTGTAAGATTGCTCACAACAGCAAAAAAGTACTCAGAAGTTGGCAATGAAGCATGCTTTCCCTGACGCAATTTGTCTGCTACAACTTAATTTTAGTAGATTTCAGAACTTTGTAAAAGATATATTTGCAGACAGGCCTTTTGTTACCTTTGAGATCCATAACAGGTTAGGGGCCCTATATATGAATTTTAGCTTTCTGAATAAGATTCTGGATCTCTCAGAAACATCAGTCATTCCCAGTTCCGTGAAGAGGGGGAAAAGTGATTGAATATTGAGAAAGACAAACTGTAATAATGTGGAAGACAATGGAGAGTGAGAGAGACATATGACTAGCCTAGAATTCATTACATGAGCAAAACTGAGGTAGAAAAGCTGGTCACGTGAAAGTCCAGTCTTAGGTAAATCCTTCTCTTCTTTGTGCTTTTTCAGCCAATTCTTATAGGCCTGTGGAGAGAGAAAATTAATAATAAAAAAATCCCCCTTCAGATAGCGTCCCAAAACCATGTCTTCTGTCAATGAAATAAATCAATCTAATATATATTTAATAACTTAGCAAGTTTGTATCTCTCTCTCCTCACCCTGAGGCTCTGAAGACCTCACTTTGAGGCTCTGCTGGCCATTCCCCTAGTAACTCTAAGACAGGAGAATAACAACATGAGTCCTTTCCTTCCCATTTCAGACACTACCACACACATCATCATAAGAGAAGATGTAGTGATTGCACTATGAAAGAATGAAAATTTCATAGAGAGTGACAAATATTTGAATAAACATTAAAAGACTCTACCTCCCAACATTCTTCATTCAAGAATGTAATAAGTACCATCTGAGACCTAGAGATCTCAGAGCACCCTGCACTCAGTAATTAATTAAACTGCTGAACTACTGCATGAGGAAATAAAAAATTCTCTCTAGACTAAAGTATTGCTGAAAACATCATTATGGGGTCATTTTACCACCACACAGAATTCTGGTTTCTATGTCAGCTTAGTTCCTCAGATATAACATAGACATATAAATAACAACATACTTCTGTATGCATGACATAAATGGGGAAGTAAAGAAAGGCCCACCCCAGAATTGGTGAGGGGGAGAAGCGGTCTTACATGGAAGTAGTGAGATTATGAGCAAAGCTTTGTGAGGAATCTATGTCTGGAATAGCAGAGGACATGCAGGGCACACGCTGCACTAGCACAGGCGTGCAAGAAATCTGGAACTGGAGCAGCATGTAGGAGAGGGATGCAGCAGAGCAATCTTGTGGCATGTCGGCTGAGTTGTGTGGTGAAACTATGAGATTAGAGAAGTAAGTACACTACAATACCTGGTAAGCAATGGCGAGCCCTCCAGTGTCAGCTGTATTCTCCAAGAGTGTAAAAGTACCATTGACCTTAAAGTCATAGCTTTCATACTGTTCAACCAAGCAGTCTATAGACTTCTGTAGTGCACTCCCGTTGCATGTAGGGCATCCTCCAGGCAGCACTGTGGGGAAAAAAAAAATCATAGAAAATAAGGGTATTTCTGGCATTCACTTTTATTCCTCAAAAATAACTGAGTCTTCTTAGTAGTCAGCATGGCCTGGAATGGGTTTTCCTTAGCTTCATCTACCTTAATAATACATGTATACATTGATACAGGGACCAGGATGTAAGATCCTCTGAGGGGAAGTACCAGTGGGGACCTAGAAGAGTAAACAAAGACATCACAGGTGGTACCCACCATAACCATAGAATACGTGAAGAAGTTCATGCGCCATGAAGAACCCGATGGCTCCAAAGTTCACAGCACTGAAAAATAAATAAACATGAAAAGAATGCTTTTGAAAAGAAAAAGAGGGCATTCTTTATAGCCACTGAGCACAACTGTGGGCTGCACAGGAGCATTCTACTCTGAGAGCACTTTCTATTTATTTTCTCTCAGATGCAGTCCACTGTAAAAATGCAACTACAACTGTAAAATTACTCTAACAATGCTTAAAGTTGTACCATGGGCTTCATTAAAGTATTCGTAGCTAATAATCCATCATAATAATGAAGAGTCTATGAATGAGCTTCTGCCTTTATTAACTCTAATGACATGTATTGTTGTTGAGATATGTCCTTATTTACCCATTACTGGCTGAACTGTTGCACAAACAGTATCTGCAATGGTAATCACACAAAAGCAAGATGGTTGGAGAAGCAATCTTGCAACAGTTGTTTAGTGAAAAATGATAAATAAAACTAGCAAGGCAAATTAAAATCATTAATTACTCTGGTCTAGCATTGGTGATCTCACGACAAGCAAGAGTTTGTACTAGAGACCTTCAGCAGTTCTTTCCAATCAGAATGTCTATGATTCTATGCAATGAATTTACAAGTAGTCACACAAGTAAGAGTACACTCAAAATGCATTTCCACAATATGAAATTATGGGCTCATTTTTTTTCTTCACATGCACTGATTAATACTGCTGAAGCATGAAATTGTAGTAGATCATTATTACATCACTGGGAACTCAGTAGGAAGTGACAAGAACTCATCTTCTCTTAGAAATGCTCTTTCAGCAGCTCTGCAACTGATAACTTATAATTGTTGCCCAGAGAAGTTGTGGATGCCTCACCATTGGAAGCGGTCAAGGTCAGGTTGGACGGGGCTTTGAGCAACCCGATCTAGTGAAAGATGTCCCTGCTCATGGCAAGGTGGTTGGAATAGCTATCTTTAAAGGTCCTTTCCAACCCAAACCATTCAATGATTCTGTAACAGTTGTACTGCTTTGCTGACTTCTTATTTTAAAAATTATCCTTACAGTCACCTGAATTGGCTTTTGTCAGTAAAGTTTAAACTAACACTGAATACAAAAGGAGTAAGAAGCAGTAGACATTTTTTCAGAGAGGAAGAATATGATAAGTGACAGCCCGTAGCACTGGGAAAAAAAAAAATTTCTATTATTCTTTTGAGGTGTCCTGTTCTTCATGCTATAATGAATTCATGAAATATGCAAGCACTAGAAGATGTCATATAGCTAGTGGTAGGAGATCACCATGGAGAAAATAATTGCTTTTAACTGAAACATGTTTCTTTCAAACTTCAGCCTCTTGCCACAGTGTGAGCTTATCTTTCAGTACAATGGGATTAGGAGAAGTATCTATCATTATCATGCCAAAAAAAAGGACATAAAATAATATTTTTACAGTCAACTGTTTTAAGTGCTTTTAATATCAGAAAAATATTTCTTAATAGGTCTGTTCCCTATGCTGAAAGAACCCAACTATAAAAGTATGGTCTACAGAAGTGTCATTGTTGCAGAGGAAGACTCAGAATTAAAAATGTATTTGCTTATTACAGAAGGTTTCTTTATAAAAAGAAAGAGAAGAACTGTGTTTGATCCATTTGAAAAAGACTTCTGACAAGAAGTTGCTCTGTGAGGCTCCTATTTGCTCTGGGTTAGATTTCTCTGGGTTAGATTTCAGGAATTCTTGGAATCTAGAGAATGAGGGGCAAAGGTGAAATATCTTCTTTGCAGTTAACCTGCATGAGACTTCTGCCTCTTCGCTCTGGAGTAGTATACTTGGCTTAGCTTAGTTTCACCTAGATTCTGATTTTGCTCCAGCAGAGCCAATAATCACACAAAGGCAGTATCTATCTGGCTTTAGGAAAAGCTATTTTTCTCCCTTTAGTGTGTCTCTCTGGGATGCAGTAAGAAAAAGAGGTTAAAGACAGACCCATTAAGATTCTTCCTGGAAACATGGTGCAGTCAAGGGACTACCTTCAGCTTCCACCTTTGCAGCCCCTTCATACCTGGGAAACTCCATGTGGAAAAAAGGGCTGCGGAACATTCCAGCAGGAAAGACCACCATGTTGTGCCTTATTGAGTAGTATGAATGCACAGTCCAGGGGGACACATGCCAGCTAGAAACAGAAAAAGAGAAATGAGAGAATGTATTAATTCCTTATCTCATATCTTGCTCCTTTCTTCCACTGGGCTTGCAAAAATGGTCTGCTCAGTACAACTCTTCATACAGCAGCAGCAAATGATTAAATTCACATTATCTAGAGTTAAAGATGTTTAAAATAAACCTTCACTTGTTTACAGACAGTCAGAGATAGTAGCTTAGCTTTCGTATGCATTATTCACCCTCACAACTTCTCTGTCAAGTAAGTCAGGATTAGCAACCTCCTGTGAACTCCTGCATAGAATACTCTTCAGGTGGTGTAGCATGCCTGTCAATGCTGCCTGCTTTCTGAAGCATCCTATGTCCTGCCTTTGAGGTGACCCTGGCAGCATCCACATCATCACAGTGTTTTGCTGTTTGCTTTGCAGCTAAGTACAGGAGAACCAGCTATCTCCCTTACTCAAGGGCTCATGGGCAAAAAAGGTTATTTTTTCAGGGGTCTGGAGCTCCTCAAGGGTGGGTTTTTTTTGGTAGCATGAGCTCAGGCTGAATACAAGACAGGCTGCCCGATTCAAGGCTTTTTTAAGCAGGATGCAGAAATGCAGCCTTGCAGTAAAGAAGGACAGCAGCATCTTGTCTTGCACTAGGAGAAGTGTCGCTGGCAGGTCAAGAGAGGTGATTATGCCCCTCTATTCAGGACTGGTTAAAACACATCTGGAGGTACTGTGTCCATTCTGCCCCTTCCTCCCCATCCCATCTCTCCCCACCCCCACCTGCCCTCTCCCTCCTTCCCCAGTTAAAGAGAGATATAGATATACAATTGGACACAGTCCTGAGTGACCTGATCTAGCTGATCTTGCTTTGAGCAGGAGGGTGGGACTAGGTGATCTCCACAGGTCCCTTCCAACCTCAGTTAGTCCACGAGCGTGTTCTTCTGTTAGATTTTTCAGATCAGTATCTGACACTTACTTATCCTGTGAGTGATGTTGAAGGAGTTTCAAGTAGGAATTTTCCCTCAGTACTTTCAAGCAAGCCACCACATTGAGGAAAAAACTGTCTTCATTTATCTCCAACTGAGGAAAGAGACAGGCAATGTGACTGTCATAGGGCATGAGTTAGGGATGAATTGGACAGTATGAGAAAAAGAAGAGTCCCACAGGTCCAGAAAAAAAGGTTAATCAAAAGACAAATCAATGGCATACTTGTATGTGTTTCTCTCCCAGTTCTAAAGACCTTAAATTCAAGATATGACAGGAATGTTATCTGCAAGCCAAACAGAACATACAAGCAGGTCACAACCAATCTCTGCCAGACACTCTAAATAAAAGACAGCACAGGCAACAATATAGAAGCAATAGATGAAGGATCTCTGGGCCTATATGTTCTCAGAAAATGAATAGCAGGAAACATGCATTGCTCCAGAAGTCACAACCTCTTTAGCAGCAGACAAGATAGCAGTTGGTACAGATAAACTGCCAATAATGAGGCAGGCATGTTTACATTATATGGCTCACATTCTGATATTCCAGGTTCACTTTGGCAGTCTGGAGTATGTGAGCTGGATAGCCGATCTCTACTTGTAGTTTGGAAACCTAAAATCATAATAAACAAATGAACAAAAAGAAATATGATCAATAGGAGGCTTTACATCATGTAAGTCCTTTTTAAACTCTATTTCTAAGCAACCTAAATACAATCTGTGAATCAGCCCTTCAAAATGACAGCTACTCTGTTTCAATAAGTCATCATCTCTCTCCTTTCTTAACTCAATGGCCTGAGGCCTAATGTTCTACTCTTCTTTTTCTTTGTAGCATTATTTTCTGGCATTCGGCTTTATAGTTTTTAACCTCTCTAGGTGTATAAAACTGAATTGTATTTCAATACAATTAATTCAGAGTATCCATGGACAAACACTGAGCCTCTCTATGCCTACATATCAATATATGATTGCACGTGCATAACGGCACTTATAAAACCACCTACAATTTTCAGTGTTTATAAGAAATCTATTTATTGTGTGCCTGTAGAAGCAGGTAGAAATATGTGAAAGTGAAGGGCCTTCCATTCCTTCTCCAAAGGCTTCAGAGAAAGGAAGGCCTCAGTAACTGCAGCCTTCTGCACACACCAAGACTTTAGCCTCTTGGCGAGTCTGTTCATCCATCCACTCAAAATGATCCAGTTGGCCATAGAGGGCATCTTGGATCTCAGAGAACATCTGCTCAGCCTGCCATGAAGAAAAGAAGGCACGATCAGAAATGCAGAAAAACATCGTTCAGGCTTAGCTACCATCTTCCCATGTTCCAGTAATGCAACCACAGAATAATTTGGGGAAATTTCCTCTTATTGTGATGAAAGAGATTTCAGTTTCTACAATGATTGAGGCTTAAGTTAGTTGGCATCTAGTGGTTCCTCACAGGGCTCACCATTCTCTCACACACACCTTTTCATCTTGCCTCTCACTGTAACTAAGAGGGAAACATAATTCTTTTTCATTTAATCTCTGTTGCAATACTAATGGACCAAAGGATTACCCCACTTCTTGAGTGAAATGAAAATACAATATCCACAAGTATTTCATGCTGGCGTCTCCTTTTCCAAAGTTATGGCAATCTGAGTCTCTCCTTCACAAAAATACGTTTTGTTCATTCAGCTTTGTGCTTCACTGCACATAGTCTTAGTTTTCCCATTAATTTTTCCTGGGGTTATTCACTCTTGTCACTTTATGCACTGCCAACTCTTTATAAAACCTGATGCCTACACTACATTCCCTCAAAAGAAGAAGGAACTCTGATCATCATAGAAAAAAAAAAAGAAATCTTTTCCACACTGCTGGCAGGTGTTCCTTTTACTGTGGATCCACTCAGAATGTTTTGGCATTGATTTGTTTTTGTACAACTGGTCATATGATGGCTTAATGGCTTTGCAATTGAAAATCTTATTTAAATATGTCAGATTAGTGATGAATACTGTTAATACTAACTGTCATTCCAGGAAGCACACTGAGATTGCATGTATTTGTAGGGCTGTCATAGGTATTGGTGCTGCACACATTACTTTGCTAACAGTTGAGATAAAGATAATAACTGGTATTTATGCATTGATTATTCTAACAATGACAGCAATGTCTTGTTCTGACATCTTTCATTCCCAAAAAAGGAGGGGAAGTGCGTAAGTACAGGAATATGTAAAAAGGTATAAAACCTACACATGATTTTGCTGCCTTGATGTGGTCTTAAGTTGGCATGTCAAAAAAAGAAAGAGATGAAGTTGAGCTCTGCTTGGGGGTTAAGAGAATGAATACCTACTAGTTCCTTGGTCTGCTGAGGGAAAATTTCTTGCACAATCATCTGCGCTAGAACTGGCTCAAAGAAAGAACTGGTATCAGTCAAGCACTTCCTCCAGCGCTCAGCTGGGATCTGCAAGAGTAGAGAAAGACATAAAGACACATGAGAGTGAGGTCAAAGATAGGAAGAAAGAAAAAAGATATGTAAACATCCAGTCAGTAGCATATATGCTGTCATCTAAAAATGACAGCAGTGAATGATAAGTAATGTAGTTCCATTTAAGCTACCTCAGAAAATTTAAATGAAGTAAAACATTGATTTCCTTATGATTTGTTCCACTTACTTTCACACAAGATGAAGATTCATATGATAGCTGAGACAAATACATAGAATAAAGGTGACTATCCATATATTGTTCCCTACCCCATGATACAGTGCGCTTAGCTCTCTGAAATTTTGTGTGTCACATCTGCTCCCATATTTCTTTGAGAAAAGGGAAGCATTTAATGGCCTAATGAGAGTAGTTTTCCTCCACAAATATAAGAAACTCCATCCAGGTAAGGCATCAAGAGAACATCCAGAAGGCGTGTCCTAGGGTGTTCAGCTGCTGTGAAGGCTGAAGATGATGTTAAAGGCTAACTCACCATTCTAGATCCCATTTTTCCATACAGAATCTTAGATAGGTCCAGGCGTGCATCTTGGAATCGACTGTCAAGGGCTGGGGAGAGAGTCCCAACCAGACAAACAATCATATAAATGTGAAGGACCCTGTAGGAAAATGACATTTAAAAATACATCCACTATAAACAGAGCTGTGGCAAGTGTCAGAGGAATAATTTGAGGGAGAGGAACCCTGGTAACCTGAACAATGATAACAAAGTACTTTGAATGGGCTACACCTGGGGCTTTCAAAGGAGAATGATTTGACATGAATCAACCAAAGAAACTCTCTCCCCAGAACACAGTAAAGACTCAAGGGGTAATTGCCTGCTGGGGCACAGAATTCTTTATGGGAAGCAGGAGAAAGAGCATTTTTAGGACTGAGTGAAACTTACTATAGAATATTTTGAGGGGTCTGTGGGATTCTGTGAGACCTATTATGGGATGTTTATGGAAAGAACCAAAGGCAGGAAAAGGGAAGAATCGTGGTGGATTGGGGGGGACCACACATGGGAAAATGGAGAGTAAAGGTGGTAAGAGGCAATGGTTGACCGTAAACTTGTTGCTTGGCAGGACGTCTGTCTGACTGAGCCCTGCACATGGTCATCAGAATCTGTTCTATCTTATTAAATGCTGTTCCTAAGTAACATTCTACTCTGGGGGGGGGGGGGGGAGAGTGGGGGGTACGGGGACAAGGAGAGTTAACTACTGGAGGGACTTTGGTTCAAGCTAGCTGCTGGAGAGAGCAGGGATCTGAGAGTTGGCTATTGGAAAGACTAGAGGTTTGGACCAGCTACTGGAGAGATCTGCTTGTATGTGTGTGTTTGTAACAGAAAGAGACCAGAGTACCAGCAACCAAAGTAGATCCGCAAGACTCAGGGTCTCATATATCCAGATGCCAGAAGCTGTGGTGGGGATCTGGGGCCAGCTTCTCGACAGACTGACTATCTAAGAACAGCTATTGGAGTGATCCATATTGTGTGTGTACATATATATATTTCACTAGTATAGACCAATCCTGATCAGCTAGAGAGGAGAAATAGGATCAGGCTGTCTGAGCTGTTCATGTTTGTATGAGTGCTATGGGTGGGTGGGTGCCAGTAAAGGCATTGTGTTCCATCTCTGTTGATCTGTGTGACACACACACACACACACACACACATATATGCGCATACATGAGGAAGCCTGTTGGGAACATATGCTAAGCCTTGGTACTGGCTAAACCTGTATAGAGCCACAGCAGCCTTGCAATTGTTAGGCTACAGGATTCAACAGCCTTTAACACAGACCTCTTTAATTTATGGTATCTGAAGTTAATATTTCTTTTGGCATGAACAGCTACAACCATAGATACTGACTCCTACCTTTCCTTCTGCCATTGTTCGATGAGCTGTGACATGCCTTTTAAGTAATCCATGTCATGCACTACAATTGGCTGAGAGAGGTTCATTGGCATAGGATGGAAAACAGCCTGGAGACATGACAGCCAGTCAATAGCAGGTGCCTTTTCCTAGAAGTAAACCAAAGCTTACATGCTGAACTATGAATCTAAATTGACTGACAAGAAATAATAGGGAAACTGGGATAGTTTCTCTAATATTATTAAGAGATACAAGTTTAACTGGTTTTATTATGTAAGTATTGATGATAGTAGAAAAGAAGAATTTACTTTTTTAATTGAATTAGCACTGGGGAGGGGAGAGAGTTGTGGGCCTGAAAAATCCAACTGCTGTCAATAAAAGACCGTAAGTTAATAGGTTATTTAAAGGTCAACAGACTCCAATGGTAAGTTGCAAGGGAATGGCATCTAAACAGAGTATCTCATACCTCTTTTGATCCAGATATTCAAAATGTGAATGTCACATGTAATTGTGTTGCTCAAGTTCTAAGGCATAGATACCTGTAGCTCCCTAATGGTAGTGCGAAAGAACAGCATTCCCCTCTGCCGTCTTTCCTGCAGTGGGGTGACAACTTGCTGGAGGTTGGAGATGAAGGACAAGGTAAGGGAAAAGGAATCAGGGGGACCATCCTGTGGCCCTCCAAGTAGGCCCCCCAGCTTCTTCAAATATGAGAGATACACACGGAGAACCTGCAATACAGAGCATATGACCAGTGGGAGAAACATAACTGATAATTAGCCACTCCATCCATCCATCCATCTTGACCATATGAGCTTCAATCTTTCAAAACCACTGCAGGCCAATTCCTAAAACTGTTGTCTTCACTGCAATATCCTTATGTGATTCTTCATGCAGAATACAGTTTGCCAAGTACAGCTCCTCTCTCAGTGATGAACACTGAATTCCCAAAAGGTTGTTTTTGTCCCAGCTTACAATTACATTAAATTCCAGAATCATTTTAGAGATGTAAGCCTGCCATCTCTGAAGTCAAAGGAGAGAGATGTAGTGACATAATGAGCCAGAATTTTTTGATGGAGAGAAAATGCCAGCTTCTTGCTTCTATGTTCATGAGGTATCAAAGGAATGCTTGTGTTTGTTAGACAGGCTTATTTTTTTGGGGACTCTTCTGAAAGTGTCAAACTGAGAAAATGAAATCAACTCAGTTTTTATAAAGTTCAGAAAAATGACTGAGGTGTGACGAAATTAATTTTGTTGCAATAACTGCCAAGGGCAAGGACCTTGTTTCCCCAGCTTAGATTAAAATATTTTAAAATAACTTTTAAAATGCTAGATGCCCCTTCCCAATACACAAATTTTAAGTTATAAAGCCTTACTTTGGACAAGAATTTTTTTTTTAAACATTCATTCAAGGTGAAACCTAGAGGGAAGCCCAGGTTCATATTACTTAGCAAATACAAATAAAAACATTCTGTTTCTACACAAGAAGTGTAGACCTAGTATCTAAAAGTGGGTTACATTTTACAAATTCTCTTTCTGGAAAAGTAGAGAGTTTTGTAAAGAATTCCTTCTGGAGACATTTTGAGAGGTCACTGACCGTAACCCATGGAAACAGACCACTCTGAACCAGGAGGCAATTCAAGGAGATCCCTACACCAAATAGCTATTTTTACCTTTCTTCAGTCTCTGATATGTTACCTCAAGATAATTTTTCTCTTTGAATTTACTCTCAGGTGGCATCTCAAACTCAGGATGGTCAATCTGCAAAAAGGAGTAAAGAAAAAACATCTTGCTGTTCCCAAAAACACTGGAAACGTGAGGATATGGTCAACCAGTTTTGTTAACCTCTGTGTCACAGAATGAAATGTTAATAAATTGCTTTTACTTTTGGAAAAAGTTTTCTAAGTAATTTTTTGGATCTGTCATATTCTCCAGCTCATTTACAAGCTCATTACAAATCTGCAGTGACTGATGCACAAATGTAAAAGACATTGTTAAATATTTCTACGTAGTGCACTGGCTTTGGCTGGGATAGAGTTAACTTTCTTCATAGTAGCTAGTATGGGGCTGTGTTTTGGATTTCTGCTGAAAACACTGTTGATAACACAGGGGTGTTTTAGTTACTGCTGAGCAGTGCTTACACAGAGCCAAGGCCTTTTCTGCTTCTCACACTGCCCCACCAGCGAGAGGGCTGGGAGTGCACAAGGAGCTGGGAGGGGACACAACCAGGACAGCTGACCCCAACTGACCAAAGGTATATTCCATGCCATAGGACATCATGCTCAGCAGTAGAAGTGGGGGGTGAAGGAGGTTGGCCAGGGCTGCCATTGCTTGCGAACTGACGGGGCAATGGTGGGTTGGTGGTGAGCAAATGGGGGTTTTGAATCACTTCTTTCTTTCTTTCTTTTTTAAATTATTAAACTGTCTTTTAGACAGTTAAGAATTAATTTATTAGAATTATTAGAATGATTTATTATTTATCAGAATTATTTATTAGAATTATTAGAATTTATTAGAATTATTAAACTACCTTTTATATTTTCACACTTTTACCCTTCTGATTTTCTCCCTCATCCCACTGGGTGGGGAGGTGAATGAGTGGCTGTGTGGTGCTTAGCAGCCTACCAGGTTTAAACCACAACAGTAAGCTGCAAAATTCATAGTACATGATGTGTATTAAACACTTAGTACTTAGAAGCCATTATTGTACTAGTCATACCCATGAACATAAGAAGAACCAGACCCTTCCATGGTGAAGTACAATCTACACTGTTGGGCAGAAGAGATTAGAGAATGTAAGCAATTTATTCTTCCTTATCTGCTTATTTTCGAGAAATAAGTGCTTTTTATGTTATAAAATCAAGAAGTTTTCTGAAATTTAGGAAAACTTTTTTCAGAGAAGAACATAGGCTTAACTTGAGCAACCCTGGGTCTCATGGGCTATGTAACTGACTCTTTATTTCCAGTGCTTCCTGATAATTTTCTTTCTTTAGTTCACTCACCTGAATAATATTGGTCTTGAGGTCAAAAGGACTAGGTCCCACATGGACTCTGAAAAAGGGAAAGGTGTTGTATCTGCCCATGAGAGTTTGAAGAGTTTCATTAAAATCTTTTGCTTTCCCCACACCTGTGATATTCCATCCACCAACCTAGGGAGGGAAGCAGCATGACAGGAGGTGAGAAAAACTTGTTTGATCATGTTTACAAAATATTTTTTTCACTCCTACAAGCTCAGTCATTATGACACCTGAGAAGCAACAAGGCAAATAACAAGAGGGGAAACTCATGAAGATTTCTACGTACCTTGTTGCCTTTAAAATGACCTTTCGCTTTCACAATGAATTGCAAAATGACACAGGGAAAAGGAATTATAGTTATCAACAGAACAAGGTGTACAGGAAAAAAGCAGGAGAAGAAGGAGAAAGAGTTCTCATTTTTCTAAAGCCATCCAGAAGGACAACCAGGGATCAGGGCTTACAGGCCCCACCTCCCTGCCAAGCAGATTCGCAGGTGGGCCTGCAGGTGGACCACAGGTGGGTCCTTCTGCTGGAAGGTTCTGCATCGTCCTTGGAGACAGGGCGTAAATGTACAGCCCTCCCCAGCACTGAGAGGAGTCTCCCAGAATGGAAAGAGAAGCATTTTCCTCTTTAAACAAGCTTCCCTGAAGCCTGTAGTAGTGGATGGCCATCAGAGCTCAGACACAAAAATGTCACCCATTTTGCAAGATGTTCCCTGGTGTGTTAGTTGGATCCTATTGAACTGAGCTTCTGACATTAAAAATGATCCCTCTTTGCAGACTTGGTTGTTATACAGTCCTAAAGTAATATGTATGGTCGTGAGGATAGATTCAGGTACCTTATGTCAGAAAATCAAATCTTGAAACAGCATGTAAAGCTAGAAGATTTATCACTTAGAAGTTGTGCTGTGAACCATGAGCTTATTTCAGGGCCAGATGCTAGCAAAATTCCATCATGTAGGACCATATGACCCTAACTTCACACTTTCCTTTTTCCTGCAGGAATTATCTTCTGGAGGGAGAGGAAATAGTGCAAACACTCACCTGATTTAGGAGGTTCTTCAGTGGTTCAATCCCTTGAGATTCTATCTGTTGGGTATCCATGCAGGAGCGATAAAACTGGATTGCCTTCTCCTTAGCTGAGCCTCTTATCCCAAACTGTGGGCCCTCTGAGGAAACAAAATAGATGAAAAACTACAAAAGTGGCAAAAAAAAATTTGAGGCAATATTAAAGCAGAGAAAAGTTGTACAAAAATATCACACTGCACTTTGATTCAGAACAATTTAGTAAATATATCCACACTTCCCACAGTCACTCAAAAAAAGAGACCTTCTAGTGCCATGACTCTTCCTATTTGCATAGAAACAGGAACACAACAGGAAAGTTGTGCATATCTAAGCTTCAGTCCCACATGGAGTCAGGACACATGACCAGAGTGCACATTCAGACAATAGCAAAAAGGGTCTAATTTTAAAAGGCAACAGGAAAATGGTTTTGGTTGCTGTCAGAATTTTAAAGTGTGACTTTCATCTGTTACGCTTGTCAAGGGGAACTAAAATGTTTAAAATGCGGCTATTGTAATATGACATGCTCAAGAATAAATCTGTACCAGTAATGATAGAAGAAAAAAGAGACTGGACTGAGTCCCTGTTGGGATGACTGTGCACTCAGTTACTAGTATTCTCAGCTCTGACAGAGGAAGATGCTGAAGGTAACACACCAATCACCTGTCCCTACCTAAAAGGCTTTTCAGGATCAACTGGTTTTCTTCCAACAACACATCAAATACATTTAGTGATTCTTCTGTGGTTCTGCTTGAGTGTTTGCGTTCCCAGCTGCCACAGGCATATTTGTAGAAATCCTCACAGGGGTCTACAGTGTCATTCCTAGAATTCAGGAGTCTGGCCAATAGTGTAAGACCCAGCTCGGCATCACAGGATCCTGGGCAGGAAGCAAATAGGAGAGAACTGAGCAGTGACAGTGGAGAGTGAGAACAACACCGAACAAAAAAATTAGGACTTATCTGTAGGACATTTCCTCTGAAAGATTTATTTTTGGTACAAACATCTTTGCATGCAGAGTGTTGAATTCCTTGTAAATTTTTGCTGAATATGTGTTCTGTCTTTCACTTCACAGGAAGATTGCCTTTGCACTTTATAAAGGAGATTCTTTAAATAAAGGACAGGTTATCAGTCCGGAGGTGGTGTCCTCTGTTCATGCTATCTAGGCAGTCACAGGTTGGATTATTCTGCCTTCTCAGTGTATTTTCTCTGAATCAGCCAAATTTGGCCAAATGATAAACAAGGAGCAACTGATGGGGTCAACGCATGAAGCAAAAGAAGGACATAGCACAGAGAAAGTAAGTAGATAAGTTTAAAATGTGGAGGGAGATGTTCAAGCATGGGAAACATTTCTCAGCAATGGTATTTATTAAAACAGGACAAAGACTTTCTAGTACATCTTGCTTTGATCTACAACTCCCTTATCTAAACTGCTGCGAATCACTGGGTATGTGTTCTCAATTTGGTTCAGTGTCTTGTATCAACATCAGATCAGATCAATTATTTTCTGAAATAAGCCACTTGTAAATCAAAGTAAGACTTTCCATACTATGGTTTCAACAGTTGATGTGGGAGGAGGTAGGCAGAGTGGAAACAGACAAGATCTAAACTAACAGTTTTTCCTTGGTCTCTGTAGTGAACGGCCTCCAACACATAACAGGGACTGAAGAAAAATACTAGATGAAGAGTCAATAATGTTTATTTTGGAGCAGGGAATATCTGTATCCACCAATATAAATGCATCTTCAGTACTGAGCATTCTATATGCATAAACATTTACAAGGGCCATTCTGCAGATAGTTGTTTAGGAAATTCAAAAGGCAAATTAATATTTCTGGTCTGTGCTCACAGCTCCCCCATCAGCAAGAGACTATGACTTTTCTTTCTACACTATGACTGCACTGGTCTGTGCTAGAAAACTAGGACTAGGCTTATTAAGTTAGAGATGGAAAGGTGGAGGAGGAGCTCCATATGTCAGATTCAGTCCAGTCTCCTGGAGGTGACTACAGACAGAGCGAGACACAATGATGAGATGCAAGACAATATAATGATCCTCTCCCTCAAAACCAGGCCCAGGCACATTAAATGGCAGGCAGAGGAGGAGGAGAAGTGTGGGGATCTCTTCCTACTATGACCCAAGGAAGAGGCAGAACAGTGTATCTTTTTTACAACTGGTGTTATGATTCTTTGAGATTCTGAAGTCTAATTCTTAACATAGATGCTAAGCCTAACAGACAATGGATGCAGATAGGAGAGAAAGGGGTCTTAAAAATGGGGTGGATAAGGAAGCAGGGAAAAGGTTATCCCATATTATACCTAGACCACAAGTCATCATGATGTAGGTGATAAGCAGTGTAAAGCCAAGGAGAGTACTGAGAAGTGTACACAGAAGTAGGCTTTTCCCCTGAAGGCATTGTTCTTTCTTTGCACCTGTTCTCAGCTCCTGGTCACAGGTCTAAAGAGAGAAAAATGAGACAAACAGAAAAAATAAAGAAAGAAAAAATCATATTAAAGTTGTCACTGGTCAAATACTCCATCTTTGACTGAATCTAATAGAAAATCACTCACAGGACTACTGCCAGAATACCACAGTCATCCAAGTCATCTATGTGACTGTACTCCCTGGGGCTTTCTCACCTCCTTCTTTTCCCAGTCTTTTCCAGCTACAGCTGTTGCACAGTGTTATGAGTTATGCATCAAAAAGCCATCTTGCCATGAGGAGGCCTGTCCCTCCATAGTTCCTTCTGGTTTATGGAATCACCTTGATATACCTCCTGAAGATATCAAAGCCTTTTTAAGCCCAAAAAGCTAGTTACAGGATGGTTAGGGCTGGTGGTTCTGTTACAGTCTGGCAACCTGAGCACTAATTTCAGATCTCTCCTCAAGAAATAACTCTTGCATCCTAAGCCCTCTAGTCCAGTTCAAGTGGGAGAAAAGATTTGCCTTATTCGAAAAAATTGCAGTAAACTGTAAGTCACAAAGAGCTTGTATACAGACAGGTTTTCTCTCACTTAAATTTAGTTGTGTTCATAATCGAAGTGTGTCTTTTTAGTCAGTGGATAAGGCCGTCACCTTATGAGTACAGCTATTTTAGACATCTGCTGAAGCATCCTCCAGAGTTACCTTTTTCTCCATTGACTGCAAAGGAAGCTAGATGACTATTTTCAGGTACACCTCTAACATCTACCTGAATAAAGTTAGATAAAATGACATTTACTCTGTGTGTCCACTGCTTCTATGTACTTTGATGTACATGAGACTGGAGAACAGCAGATTACAAGAGAACAGACATGGGAATGGATGCTGGTAATATAAGGAAAGGGAAAGAACTGAAAAAAATTAAAAGTGGAATGACAGAATAAGAACATACAGTCAGAAAAAGGAGGCAGAAGGGAAAAAAAACATAAGATAATGGAAAACCTAGGAGGAAGAGGGATAGAGAAGAAATAGTATAGCAAGCAAGGAGTAAATCTCGTAGATGTGAAAGCTGATGGAAGTGCTGTTTTGAGAATCTTACCTGCCAGTGTCAGGGCCTGGCCTGCACTGTCCCCACAGCCTCAAGTTTAGCACCTTGTGCTTAAGCCTTTCTCTGATAAAAGAAAGCTGTTTGGCAAACCTTGACAGGGCTTGGAGCTCTTTGAGAAAAAGCTAGAAGCAGCCTTGGTGGAGATGCCCACTTCTTCATTTGGGAGCTGCTTTTTGCAGCTCTCATGCATGATCTCCATCCAAGCTACGCTGCAGCAGCAGCCATGCCTACCTATGGCTGGCTATGTACCCCTGGATCCTGACCTTAACCTACAGACTTGATTCTGCAGGTTTGACCTCGGACCTGCATCCTCACAATGAATTTACCTGGCAATCTACACTCTTGGTTGACCGTGGCTACTGTCACCAGACCTGCTTTACCCCCCTCATTCCCGTATTGTGGGGATGCACCCCTTGCTGGTAGAGTCATCACTTCCTGACTGTCTTGTCATGATCCTCAGGTTCTAGATTGTCTTCCCTTGTCTGCCCTTGCTGCTCCCTGACATGCAGCAGCTAAACTGCATTTGTCGCCATGCTCAGTATCTATCTTCTTCGCCACAAAACCAGAAAACATAGATCCTTACAAAAAAACACAAGAAGAAATGCAGCAAAATCCTACAAGAATTAAGTACTTCACCTGAGAAAAGGCTAAGGAAATGAATGAGTCTGCTGTTAATCCTCTTGCCTAGTATACTATGTACAATTCCTACAAAAACATTAAAGGAAAACACAGAAAGAAAACAGATCTCATAATTTTATATCTTTCCAATGTGCATTTTATTCAATCATTAACAGAAGCCTCTCAAAAGTATATGTCAGCTTGTTTGACTCATGGAAGCTGCTAACAAGGGTTAAATGCCTAACTGCTTTTCTCCCTTTAAAATCTAATTCTCATGACTTCTTTAGGCAGATTACAGAATAACTAAATGGAGAGCAAGTACATACAAGTGAATCCTGGCATTAAAAGGTGCTAGATACAGAACATGATCATACTGGCAAAGTACAGTGTAGGAAATATAAAGGAGGAAATCCCAATTCCTTTCATATGCCCCTGTAGTGAAACACTTTAGTTTTAACTCCTCAAGTAGCAAGTGTTACGACCTAACAGTATGGCAGATAAGTGAGCGGAAAAGATTTGTTTGGCTGAAAAGGAAGAAGAAAAAGTATTCTTCAATCTGGCCTATTCCTACTATGAAATATTTATAATTTTGCAATTTTTTTGGTCTCATGTTATCAGAGGACATCTGTTTCTCTCTTTCAAGTACTATATGGCATGGCTGTGGAGATAGTAACAAGAAATTGGTATTTCAAGACCATCACAGCAATTTCTGCCAAACTTCTGGTTAACCATAGGTCTGTTATCGGGCCTATATATTATGTTCCTTTTGAAATGGAAAATGCATCAAATTACAGATTTTAAAAAATCTATATGAGAACTAGCCTGTCCTCCTCAAGACTCCAAAAGGAAACAACTACAGAAGTACCTGGTTGAGAACAGTATACCCCAAAAAATAGCTTACCCCAAAAGGAGAGGCAGAGGAGTGGAAATTGTTTGTGTACTGTTACTTAGAAACTGGATTAAGGTCTGTGTTATGTGAGCCATAAGGATAAAAAGTGCTTTTCAAACACTTCACTGTCCATAAGGAATGTCTTTCAAATTTTGCCTGTTACTGGAGCTGGATTTGAGAGAACTTGTGGACCTACATAAACATAGAAAAAAAGAGGAGGGCAGTCATGCTTAGTTGTCCCTTGTATCTTTTTCATGACAACAGCTTAAAGAAATCTAGACAAATATCTGCTCTTCCACTACTCTTATAAAGCTAATGACCTGGGCAATATACCTGTCAGATTCTTTATCTAGTATGAACTTCACTTTTATGCCACAAATGGACTACGTGGTTCACAAACACTGAAATACAAAGCCCTACCTAATTCAGTGATTCTTGGTCAAGGAAGTGTGGATTTAACTACATGGAACTGGAGATGGCATATAAAAACTTTCAGGCCACAGGGTGCAGGAACATTACATAGCTTGCAGGAAGCACTTTATTGTGGTGCTGGGTTGCCTGCTCCATATAAAGAGACAAGTTAATAGTTTGAACAAGCCTGTGGAAAAGGATAAAGAGCCTTTAATCTCTGATAGAGTTTTTCCATATGAACTTCACTTATAAGTAAGTGAGAAGAATGATTAATATTTGCATGAAGTTGAAGATGAATGCAATTTCCAGTACAGTTTCTATTCTTTCATGCTTTTCTTTTAAGAATGTGCAAGTGCTCAAATTTAAATGGCTTCACTGTAGCTAAGTGAGATCAAATGCCTGTAAAATCACTAAAAGCTGACTTCTAATTGTCCTCAATTATAAAATGAATAATTTTGAATGTATATAGTACATGAATCATCTGATTAAAATGTGAGCAAGACTTAGGCTAGCAGAATCTTGACAGGTTCTGTTATCACTAAAGCAAGAACTGTTTGATGCAACTAAATCAGCCAAAGAATTTGATTTTCCTTCAGCATCTCCTTCTTTCTGTGAGCCATTCCTGAATTCTGCAGGGAGGTTGAAGTTCCCCTGCCTAATTCTTCCTCACCTTGCATCTTCCCAATGTTTACTGCTGTTGCAGAAAAAAAAGCATCTAATTTTTATGAAAATGTAGTAAATTAAAATAAAGACATCAAAGGCAAGGAGAACTGGAGCTATTTTTCATAACTATTTGCCAGGCAGCTGAGGGATACTATTTTTCAGTCAGTAGATTATTCATGAATATCTGACTTTTTGGCTGTTACCCAAATTGTGTTTATCACATTAGCCACGTGGATGACATGTTTTCAGACTAATGCCCCAATACTCACAAAAACTTCAACAATTTCTTAAATTTATCTTTTGTCAGCAAATCACTTAAGCACATAAATTGAGCACATTAAATGCCATTTGAGAAATAATATTTTAGCCTGTGTTCAAAATATAGTACCTGCTAACATGCGAAACTGAACATAAAGTTTGCTGAATTATATTTTGGACTACTAAAAGTTTGAAGCATAACCATGGCCAATAACTATTTAAAGTTATTGTTGTCTGATCTTTATCACATGGAAATATGAGAATGGATATACAAACCAAATGTTTATGCAAATTTTTCAGCCAGAAAAATGGAGACAAAGTAAATAAAGTGACTGTTTGCATTACAGCCAGAGATCTTGGAACACTGAACAGCTCTCCACATAACAAAACATGCACATTTCTTTTTTTATATTTTTTAGTTACCTAGAAAGCTTTATTTATCTCTACTGTCCTTAAATGTTTTGTACATTTTAGCAGCCCTGAGCTAACAGTTCAGTTCAGAGTGATTTGTCTGTAAATATGCAATTAACTTTATTAGTTATTTGCATAAGACATCAAATCAGGAAAAGGACATTGCACTACCTGGGGAGAATTAGGCTTACCATGTCATTCTCACATTCAGAAAACTATGATGTGTTTACCCACAATTATTTGGGGGGGGGGGAAACTGCATGTTTCTGCATAAGTAATTTCTTAGAATTATTTGTTGAAAAAATTGGGATACAATAAAAGATGCAAATAATAATATTGATAATAATATTAATATTACTACTACTACTACTACTACTACTACTTATTGGTCAGTGCTTCCAACAGATCTGAATACAGTCTCAGAATGGCCATTAGGATGACTAACAGGAAGGGTAAGAACCCCCAAATCCTCACACCACGTCACACATCATTAATTCTGAGATATGGACAAGTCCCTTCTGGATACAAACTGTCAAAAACTCAACTGCTGCAGTTCCCTCAGGCAATAAGCAACGTCGCTGTGGCAGAGGAAGAAAAAGAGAGGGGTGCAATGAAGGGTCAAGAGACTGCAAGACAGACCCATTTCCTTACCTCTGGAAGAGTCCTCATGCTTGTCACTGAGCAGGCTTTGTTCCTGTAGTTACCAGAGTTGACAACTCTGTTTACTTGTTTACTATCAGTCTTCTGTGCCAAGACACACTACTAAGTTCAGAGACAATCTCTTCTTCCCAGCGTGGCTATTGCTCTGGGGAGGAGAAAAGAGAGGAAAAGCTCTGAGAAAAACACCCTTAGAAAACATGGGAGGGAAGGAAATGGATGCATTTCTGCAACTTTCCACCCACCTTCCTTTCCTAGCACCTCTACTTCACAAAAAAAAAAAAATCTCTATTTTGTTCCTTTCTGCCTCTCCCTGTGACATATGTGTTTTTCTGTCTCTTGAAGCTCCACTGAAATCTTTTTGAACAGAAATATGTGATTCTCTATCTCCCCCAGCGTCTTCTCAACTATTTGCTGCTTCGCTTCTTTCCAACAGCCTGACTATCCTGCCCACCCAACAAGCCTGTTTTGGTCTGATATTCTCACTGCTACTAGCCTGTTTGAACCTGCTGCTCTGGGGCCTGGAGGCCTCTGCCTGTTCCAAGATAGCGTGGGTTATGGATCCTAGTGCTCCTCCGCCCGCAGAAGCAAGGCCAATATATGCTGACGTTCTTTTTGCTCGCTCTCATCTGCATCCAAAAGTCCATTCAAGGGCTGAACACAAATCCACTTCTGATTCTTTTTTCTTTTGCACTGAGGCATAAAAGAAATCATTCATTAACGATTCTGTTTACAGCTGTTGGTTGCTTCTCAGATAAGGGCCAGCCTGTGTGTCTTTACTTCCTGTGTGTCTTTACTTGCATATTGGAAAGACTTGAGAGGGAAGTTTCTCTGCTTTGAGGACTGGGATCCAGGATCACTTCCTTGAAACATTAACAACTGAGTAGTGGACATTGGGAGTTGAGACCTTCTCAAGTGGCAGCCGGGAGCTGAGAGAGATGGTGGGGACCAGTTTGGTGTCAGCTTCCAAAATGACTGAAACAAGCAGAACATCAGGACAGAACTGTTTACCTCCGCACCTTGCTAGTCTCTGAGGGGAATATGATGTCTTGGTTCACGAGTCTGAAGATAATTAGGTATCTCTTCAGTTGTTCAGAGCTTTCCAAATCTTTGGGGTCTCTCTTCTAAAGTTCAAATTTTCTTCCCACCTTCATCACTCTGATTTTTTTTTCCCTATTCCTGTAATGCTTGCATGATTTCTTAACATCTTTGATTATACTGTGACAACAGACTTCTTATATTGCTGAAACCAGTTAACTTCCAGTTCTTTCCACCTCTCAAGTCACTGGTAGCTATATATTTCCACATTTACCAAACAACTCTAAATACTGTAAAAAAGGTCCTTGCATACTGCAAAAAAAAAGGTCCTTGGTGACCTTTCTTTCCTTGCAATAGGTCATTTCCCTTCAGCTTAACATCAGAATCCAGTTTCCAAATACTTCTTGCATAAATGATTGAGATTTGACTTAGTGGAAATAACAAGACACTCTTTTAGTAGTCATAACTCTTGCATCACTGGGAGGATTACTGTGATCCATAATGTCCAACAGATACAGAGGTGCTTTGCTCATTGTGGCCTAAATTAATTTACAGCTAGTCAAATCCCAAATCTTTGTGAAAACTGAGAAATGGGAATATGTAACAAAATTCAGCCCTTACAATCCTTTGTTTCCACATAGCTTTAAGTCTTCCATGTGTTCCTGCCACATTTGCCTTTGAGCCTTTTCCACTCTTCCCTACTTTACATCTTTTCTCACAATAGCTACAGTTCTAGTACTCTCTCACAAACACTTTTCAGTAGTTGCACTGATAGAAAGAAATGGTATGCAAATGTGTGTAGTGACCTGACTAGTTTTTACTATAACTGATCTTACAGTGGAGATATCTTTGTAAACTGACTGGACAAATTTGTTCATGGCAATATGCAGTTTATTTATCTGTCTTGCCTGTCTTATCTATGTGTCTGAACTCTTCCATCTTCATAATTACAGCATCTAACAGCTCCCAAGCTTAAAGTAATGAAGTTAATTTTACTTCTATTTTCTCTAAAGAACACTGTCTAGGCTTTAAAATTTCTCTGGGTAAGGAATTTATTGCCTTTTTGGTTATAAAATTGTTTTGATCATTTTGAACACAATGTAATTTAAATTAAAGCAAGTAATAAAACCTTGGCTGAAGTGTTCAGTTTTAAAATGAAACTGGAGAAGACCAAAAAAGTCTTTTGGTCAATATGCCAATGGGATATGACTGGATTTAACATGGTTTCATGAGTCAGTATCTTTTAAATAGGTGCTTTACCTCCTCTTGATTAAATGTAATTTTACCCCAAAATTTGACAAAATGATACATTGATATTGCCACACCATATGAATTGCCCCACACCCACTATCTAGAAATACTTTGAATGTGTATATATGGACATTTTTTTCCAGACCCTGTAAACTAATCAAGACCCATCTTGAAAAGTAGTTGGATCACAACCTCATTATAAATGTGCATAGGATGTTTCAGGAAATGAAATGCACATCACTTTCTCAGTGAAGAGCATGGGTCTTTGAATTAGTACACATTTCAGTGGTGGTGTGATGCTGAGAAAGTTGTCTTGCAAGATCTGACACGGAGGTGACGTTCCCTCTCCTAAGTCATCACAGACCATAATAACAGTATATACTGGATCTAACAGAAGCTACGGTTGGTTTCCATTGGAAGAGTATGCTTCTGAGTAGCATTCTGCTGCAACAGAATTTGTTGAAAAATGAACTGTTATGGAGAGAATCATGTGTTAAAACTTTTATTTATTCCAAAATTCATGTCTCTCTTTGGAGACAATGTGGATTTATTTCACATAGATGTTCTCTCTGTGGTTGTGCTCTGAGATATCCAGGTATAAGACATATTTTATCCAAAATTATATGACCTACAATTCAGAAAAATCTGTTTGACTGTGGTCATTAGCTGGAGTAATTCAGACACTGTAGTTATGTACCTTTTGAAGCAGAGTTTCTTACAGAGTAAGGACAGAGCACATTTGCATCTGGCGGCAATAAGCCAGGGAAGCGTATCTTGCATTTTCCACACTACCAGTTGGATATGGAAGTCGTCTTCAGGGTTGGTGCCACAGTGTAATGTCTGTCTATGCACTTAAGCCTTGGAAAAGGTCTACCTTGGAGAGGATTGCATGATGGCAGTGTGCAGTCCAACATCTTTATTGAATATACGGCCTCTAGTGCTGTGGGGATCTTGTAAGCTGAATACGTGAAATATTCGTGTATACAAGAATATGGTGCTGTATACGTGCAATTGTTTCTTCCTGCTGGCACATAAGTTTCTTTGAAGACAGCTTTATCAACTATGGAAAGTGAAGACAAAAAGTTTCCCTGTAAACTTTTTCTAACTACAGAAGCAGGAAGAGGGATTGGGGAGGGTGCATGGGGGGGAGACGTCACAAGTAATCCTTATCAACTGATTCCCTTCTTATCTATAACGCACAGATGACAGCTCTGCTCTCTTGAGTCCACAAATTAGCGAGAGGACCTCTGACTTTTTTCTCTATGACAGACTCTTTCCTTTCTCTATACAGTGCATTAGCTTTTCCAAATGTAACACTGATCAGCACATTGAAAAGAATACAGTGTTGGACATGCCTTCCAGCTGTCGCACATATAAATGTTTAATGGCAACTATCTTTTAGATACCTCTTAGATTTAAATTCAAAGAAATGTGGAATTATTAAGTACATTGATGTGTGTTTGACAGATGTTGTTGCAAGCATTTCTTACACATTCAAGATGGTTAGGAATATAGACATTTCAGAAAATTATTTTCTTAATATCTGTCCTGAAGTGAAATTGAATTGGGACTTTGATCTTCTACATTATCTGAATAGTAAATTCCCCTGCAATGGTATGGTTGGTTGAAGGTTAGCTTCATAGACTGATATTCCAGCTTCAACCTTCCAAGAATATGTATGTGTCATAGACTGCACCAAAAAATGCCACCTTTTTGTAGTTAAATGAAAAAAAAAAGCATTAGAAAAACATGATGCAGCAATGTTAATGTCACTGACCATCTTGAAAAATCATGTGGAGAAGTCATCACTTACAAAGAGACCGTACTTATTTGTAAAAATAAACTTGTCTAACTCAAATTTTTCTACCTCAAATGGTCACTGATGGTGACCAGTGTGATTTGTGGATTAAAGCAACATGAAAGAAATTCTCATTTATATGAAAGACTGTCTGCCAAAGGTTAGTAAGAGTTTTGGTAACCATCAAAAGCACAAATTTGTTTTGAAAACATCAGAACACTATAGCACTGTGACAGCTTGTTGCTTCACTAGAGAAGTTCAGAAAACTGGAGGCAAGATAACCTGAGAGCCATTATGTTTACCATTGTGGATGGGACGACTGACAGCAGGATAAATTCATTTCAAACAACCTAGAATTGGAGCTGCCAGTCAGGGATCTAGCAAAGTGTTCTCACTGCCCCACAGGAGACACAGAGAGATCCCTTCTGAGGCAAAAATGCTCTAAGACACTCTTAGTCACATTTGCAGGTGGGAACTTTTCACTACCTTTTTTCCCACTAAGTACTTGCTCTTTCATCTACCTTCAGTCCATTAGGTACATAATATCACAAAGTCACAGAATGGTTAGGGTTGGAAGGGACCTTTTAGAGATCATCTAGTCCAATCCCTCTGCCATGGTCAGGGGCATCTTGCACTAGATCAGGTTGATTAGAGCCCTATCCAACCTGACCTTGAACACTTCCAGTGATAGGGCATCCACAACTAGGGCAAGCCCTAGCCTCTGAAACTTTTTATTTAAAATTAAGGAGGGCAAGAGAGAATTGAAACATAATCCCTGAATTAGCAGACACATTTAGCTTGCCTTCTCAACAACAGGCTGTGTGGCTGCTCTAAGGACAAAATAGATGCTTGCCCCTTTAAAGCTTTTAGAAAGCTGAAAATGCAGTAGATAAAAATAAAAAATATTGTGGTTCAAGCTACAGAC